GCATCAAGAGAAGATGGAAGGAATACACAGAGTCACTGTACCAGAAGGAAATGATTAATGTTCAACCATTTCAAGAGGTAGCATATGATCAAACGCCAATGATACTGAAGAAAAAGTCCAAGGTGCATTGAAAGAATTCATAAAGAACAAGGCACCAGGAATTGATGGAATACAACTTGAAATCTTTCAAGAAAATGAGGCGGTACAGGAGGCACTCACTCATCTCTGCCAAGAAACTTGGGAGACAACTATCTGGCTGACTGATTGGAAGAGATCCATATTAGTGCCCATTCCAAAGATAGGAGACCCAAGGGAATGCAGAAATCATCGGACAATCTCTTTGATATTCCATGAGAATAAAGTTTTACTAAAGGTAATACAGAAACGGCTACAAGCATACACTGACAGAGAACTTCTAGAGGTTAAAGCCAGATTCAGAAGAGGCTGTGGAAGGAGAATATCATTGCTGATGTTTGATGGATCTTGGCTGAAAGCAGAGAATATCAGAAAGATGTTTACCTATGCTTTATTGACTACTTGCAAGACTTTCGAATATCAGAAAGATGTTTACCTATGCTTTATTGACTATGCAAAGGCTTTCGATTGTGTGGATCACGACAAGCTATGGACAACGTTGTGAAGTATGAGTATTCCGGAACACTTAACTGTGCTCATGAGGAATCTGTACCTGGACCAAGAGGCAGTTGTTTGAGCAGAACATAGGAACACTGAATGTTTTAAAATTAAGAAAGGTGTACAACAGCGTTGTATTCTTTCACCATACTTATTCAACCTGTATGCTGATCAAATAGTTGGAAAAGCTGGGTTCTATGAAGAAAAACGTGACATCAGGATTGGAGGAAGACTCATTAACAACCTGCGATATGCAGATGATACAACCTTGCTTGTTGAAAGTGAAGAGGACTTAAAATATTTACTGATGAAGATCAAAGAGCACAGCCTTCGGTATGGATTACATCTCAATGTAAAGAAAACAAAAATCCTCATCACTGGACCAATCAACAACACTCTTATCAACAGAGAAAAGATTGAAGTTGTCAAGGACTTCATTCTTCTTGGATCAACTAGGCCTAAAAGATGACGTAGAACCAGTAAGTCTCGTCTCTTTTATTATTTTGAGTTGTGTGTCTCACCAAGGAGTCTGAAGCACTCTCAGATGCAAGCAGGGTGCAGACTCAGATTTCCTGGGAGCCCCACTGTTTGCTTTTTGTTTTTATACTTGAATGAGTGTACAGTGAAAAACAAATATTTTTTGACACTCCGTTATATCTCCCAGAATAGTGCACTATTAATAGGTTATTTTGTTATCTTCCAGATTCCTTCTGTTTACCTATCATCATGCACATATCCATTGCTTCAGTTTGAAAAGACACACTGTAGTTATTGTTAAGTGCCCTTGAGTCCATTAAGACCCTGTACAGGGTTTCCGAGGAGTGACTGGTGAAATTGAACAGCACTGTGGATTAATGGGCTGTATTGTAAAGTCAGTTTGAAAAGATACATCGTATTCCACTATACAAATACACCAACATTTTAAAAATAATATGCTATTGATGGAGATTTAGAGTGTCAGAAGCTTTCTGAAACTGCAAATAATGTTTTCATGAATAGTGAGCAATAGTTTTGCCTGTTTGTAAGAATAGATTCCTGAAAGTAGAATTGAAAGAACAAGAGATATGTTGATTACAAGTTAGCTAGAAGTTGCCCACTTGCTCTTCAAAATAAATTGTACTAAGTTGCATTGTTATAATGCATAGTATCAAATGTTCTACTATCAAATAAGTAAACGGTGTCTGCAACACAGTCCTGGTAGTGCAGTGGTTAAAGCTCTCAACTGCTAACCCATCAGTTGTTCAAACCCACCAGCAACACCACGAGAAAAGTGTGGCAGTCAGCTTCCTTAAAGATTTCAGCTTTGGAAACCCAATGGGGTAATTCTACTCTGTGCTGGAGGATCACTATAAGTTGACAATAACTTAGTGGCAATAGATTTTTTTTCACTGTGCTATTTACATGGCCTTCCCCTCTATCCCCAAGACCTTTATAAATGAAGAAAAAGAGGTTTCTGTTGATTTTTTAAGTATCCTAGTTTGTTTTTTAACTTTTTTTTTTTCAAAACAGTTGTTCAGAATTCTGAATAAATGAGTATGTTAAGCTTATTTACTCATAGACTAGTTTGAGATCAGCTTTTGGCTGATTTAGTAAAGCCAACATATCCGTAAGAGTCCTGGTGGTAGAACAGGTTAAGTGCTCAGCTGCTAATCTAAAGGTTCTCCAAGGGAGAAGGATCTGGTGTTCTTCCATATGGGTCCATTCTACTGTGTCACATGGTATCTCTATCAATCAGAATCAACTCAGCAGCACCCAGTAACAACATATTCATCTCAACTTGTCAATGTAAAAACAGTCAACAGAAAAAAATCTCAATCGAATAGTCAACATTCTTGCTTTGACGTTTATCTTGGGTTTTTTGTTTGTTTGTTTTTTTAATGAGAGGACACTGAATTTTGACTTTGCTTTTCAAGTATGCCATGATGAGTTACACTAGAACATCAGCTCTGGGAGGACAGGGATTTTTTTTTGCTCATGGCCCAATCTTGAGAATCTACAGTTGTACATGGCACACAGGATGCATTCAGCTGACTGTAGATTTGGTAGTGATGATAACAATGTCCTGTTTCTCCTTACAGGTCGCTACGCGATGGTGGTCTGCGGAGATATAGCTGTCTATGCAAGTGGCAGCGCTCGCCCCACGGGTGGGGCTGGAGCTGTAGCAATGCTGGTGGGGCCCAATGCCCCTCTGGCCCTTGAGCGAGGTTTGTAGTAAACAATGGATACAGGCTAACAAGAGACAACCGAATATGTGGATCCTAACTAGGAGTACCTGCTGTTGTTAAGCGCCTTTGAGTTGGTTCTGACTCATAGCGAGCTGGTAAAGGGTTTCTGAGTCTTCCCTCCTGCGGGGAGATTGGCAGACTCAAACCGAGGACTTTGTGGTTCACAGTCCAGTGCTTATCGTATGGAGCCTCTGCGCTCCCCTAGGAATCCCTGTTGTTGTTAACTGCAGTCAAGTTGGTTGCAACTCATTATAACCCTGTATAGGGTTTCCAACGAGTGGCTGGTGAGTTTAAACCACTGACCTTGTAGTTCAAACCAACCTTGCAGTCTAGAGCATTATCCTGCAACGCCAGCCACACCAGGACTCCCGAGTGGAGCAATTGTTAAATACTTGTCTACCAGCCACAAGGTTGATGATTCCAACTCTGCAGGAAAAAGGTGTGGCAGTCTGCTTCTGTAAAGACATTGTTGTGGTTGTGTACTGTGGAGTCAGTTCAGACCCATAGCAACCCTGCACAGGGTTTCCAAGGCTGTAAATCTTTACGGGAGCAGAAAGCCTCATCTTTCTCCTGTGGAACAGCTGGTAGTTTTGAACTGCTGACCGTGAGGTTAGCAGCCCAATTCATAACTACTACGTTACCAGAGTTCCTTTGTAAAGATGATAGCCTTAGAAATCCTATGGGGCTGTTCTAGTCTGTCCTTTAGGGTTGCTATGAGTCAGAACTGATTTGACGGCAACAGGTTTGGATTTTGGTTTGCGGGTGTAAATGATTAAGGTGCTTGACTATGCCAGAGGCATCCTGGATGAAAGGACTGGTTATTAACTTCTGAAAAATTAGCCATTGAAAACCCTTTGGAGCACAGTTCTACTCTGAGCAGCATGGGATCACACCATGAGTGTGCTTTGGCTTGGTTTTTAATCCCAAAGTGACATATCAGGGTGCAGGTTAGATGGTGGTATCTCTATGGTCTGGGAAGCAGTAAGCAGTGAGAAAGGGAAGGAGGGAACAATGAGGCTTCTTGCCTCTCCATATTAAGGTATGGAATGATTGGTACAGACACTGTTTAGGATGCTTACAGAACTAAAGTGGAATTTGGAGATAAAATCAGGTATAAAATGAGAAGCTTTCCTCTGAAACTTTTGGGTTTTATTCCAGAGTTTGTTAAGCCTACATAGGGATGAAAAATGGAATAGAAATCTCATTTAGATAATATAATCTATTTAACTCCCTTTGAACGTATGAGAGATTTTGAGTGAACTAGGGTTTGGACATGGAAATGCAGATAAATATCAGGTAGGCAGAATTACACAATTCCTAAATCGCTTTGTGTTCCTGCCCAGGACTTAGGGGAACCCACATGGAACACGTCTATGACTTTTACAAGCCAGATCTGGCCTCAGAGTATCCGGTGGTAGATGGGAAGCTCTCTGTCCAATGCTACTTTCGTGCCTTGGATCGATGTTATGCATTTTATCGCCATAAGATCCAGAACCAATGGAAGCAAGGTATGGAGCTTGGAGGGCATAAGAGGGGAATCTCTTTACAAGAGGCTAAGGCAAGGGCTCTTCTCTCCTTCCCTGAAAATGCTGTCCACAGTTTGCTTTATGTCTCCTTCCTCTTATATCCTACTTTGCCACTATGCTAAAATCAATTTGAAAATTATCCAAATTTATAGAATTGCTTCTGAGTTGAGCTGAAAGACATGAAACCATCCAAGACCAAAGCCCACCACTATGACAGCAGTAGGTCTGTCAGCCCCCTGGGAAGAGCCTGCTGTAAAGCAGAGTAACCACATCCTACTCAGATTGCAGCTGGTTTCTATTTAGGTCAGGGGTGAGTGAACCCTTCATTCATAGTTTGTTGTTGTAGTTGTTGCTGTTGTTAAGTGCCGTCAAGTTGGTTCTGACCCATAGTGACCCTGTACAGGGTTTCCGAGGCTGTAAATCTTCACGGGAGCAGAAAGCCTCATCTTTCTCCCGTGGAGCGGCTGGTAGTTTTGAACTGATGACCTTAAGGTTCGCAGCCCGATTCATAACCACTACTTGTAGTTGTTAGGTGCAGTCAAATTGACTCTGATGAAACACTGCCTAGTCCTGGTCATCCTCACAATTATTCATTTGAGTCCATTGTTTCTGCCACCTTGCCAGTCCATCTTGTTGAGGGTCTTCCTCTGTTTTGATGACCCTCCATTTTGTCCAGCATGATGTCCTTCTTCAGCAACTGGTCCCTCCTGACAATATGTCCAAAGCATGGTTGACTTTGCTTCCCTAAAATGTTATCTGTGATTTCGCTGTAGATGGTGATATTATCCATAAATGAAAGGTGAAAAGAACATTTACCTGCAACCTCACCATCTCTCTATAAGTTGTTGTTGTTAAGCACCGTAGAGTCTGTTCTGACTCATGTTGTTGTTGTTGTTGTTAAGTGCCATCGAGTCGGTTCCGACCCATAGCGACCCGATACAGGGTTTCTGAGGGTGTAAATCTTTACTGGAGTAGAAAGCCTCATCTTTCTCCTGCGGATCGGCTGGTAGTTTCGAACCACTGATCTTAAGGTTCGCAGCCCGATTCGTAACCATTGCGCTACCAGAGTTCTGACTCATAGCAACCCTGTATAAAGTTTTCAAGGACTGGCTGGTGAGTTTGAGCCACGGACCTTGTGATTCGGTGCTTATCCTACAGTGCTATATACATTTTGATTGTATGGATCATGACAAGTATGGACAGCATTATGGAGAAGTATTCCAGAACACTGAATTGTGCTCATGAAAAACCTGTACATAGGCCAAGAGGCAGTTGTTTGAACAGAACAAGGGGGCATTGAATGGTTTAAAATCAGGAAAGGTGTGTGCCAGGGTTGTATTCTTTTATAATACTGATTCAATCTGTATGCTGAGCAAATAATCTGAGAAGCTGGATTATATGAAGAAGTGTATGCCATTCGGATTGAAGGGGGACTCATTAACAACCTGCAATTTGCAGATGATACAACCTTGCTTGCTGAAAGCAAAGAGGACTTAAAATACTTACTGATGAAGATCAAAGACCATAACCTTTGGTATGAATTGCACCTCAATGTTAAGAAAATAAAAATCATCACCACTGGACCAATAAATAATGTCATGATAAACGAAGAAAAGATGGAAGTTGTCAAAGACATCATTTTGCTTGGAGCCACTATCAACACTCATGCAAGCAGCAGTCAAACTATCAAATGATGTATCCCATTAAGCAAATTTGCAGCACAAGATCTTTTTAAAGTGTCATTTTGAGGACTAAAGTGTATGGTATTTTTCATAGCCTAATATACATGTGAAAGTTGGACAATAAATAAGGAAGACTGTAGAATAATTGATGTATTTGTGTTATGGTGTTGGAGAAGAATATTAAAAGTACTATGAACTGTTATAGAAGAACAACAACAAAAAATCTGTGTTGTAAGAAATATAGCCAGAATGCTCTTTAAAAGCCAGGATAGTAAGTTTTGTGTCTCTTACTTCAGACATATTATCAGCAGGACCAGTCTCTCAAGAAGGATATAGTGCTTGATAAAGTGGAGAGTCAGTGAAAAAGAGGAAGACTCCCAACGAGATGGATTGGCACAATGGCAGCAGCAGTGGGTTCAAGTGTAACAATTGTGAGGTTGGCACAGGACCGGGCAATGTTTTGTCCTATTGTCATAAAGTCACTATGATTTGGAACTAATTAGACAGCACCTAACAACAACAAGAGCAACATGTATAGATGTGTTATGTGTATGTGTGTAGTTATCTATCTATCTATCTATCTATGTATCTATCTATGTATGTATGTATGTATCTATCTATCATCTATCTATATGCATATGTATATGTTGTTGTTGTTGTGAAATGCTGTCGAGTTGGTTCCGAGCCATAGCCACCCTGTATAGGACTTCCGAGGAGCAGCTGGTGAGCAACTGATGAGCTTGAACCCCCAACCTTGCAGTTCAAATGGCTGTGCAGTCTGGTGCATTAACCCACAGCGCCACATCAGGACCCCACATATGTATATATATATATATGGTGTGGTGTTTAGTAGGCCAGTGCTTATCCTACAGTGCCACACCAGGACTCTATCTCTCTCTGCAGTTCAAACCTACTATTTGCTCCTTGGAAACCATACACAGGGTCACTGTGAGTCAGAATTGACTCCATGTTACTTAACACACACACACATATATATGTTGTTGTTGTTGTTAAGTGCTGTGGAGTCAGTGGTTTATATATGTATGTTGCTGTTGGATGTGACTAAGTTTGTCCCAACTCATAGCGACCCTGTACAGGATTTCTGAAACTAAATCTTTACAGAAGCAGAGAGCCTAATTGTTCTCCAAGGAGTGGTTGGTGGGTTTTGGCAACCTTGGGGCTAGCAGTCCAACACCGTGAGCACATACACATGCACACATACCACAGATTACTTTCCTTTTCAGAAACAAATCAAATCTTATTTTAAGATACAGAGAAACCATCTCAACGCATGAATGCCTCGTTGTTGTTATTAGCTACTGTGGAAGTGGCTCTCAACACAGGTGACCCACGCACAACAGAATGAAAAGCTGACTGGGCCTGACCAAACCATTGCCATACACAGGGTTTTCACTGGTTGATTTTCAGAAGTAGATCACAAGTCCTTCCCTCCTAGTCTATTTTTGCCTGGAATCTCTGGCGAAACCTGTTCAACGTCATAGCAACAAGTGAGCCTCCACTGATGGATGGGTGTGACTACACAAGGGGAGCATTTGCCAGAAATTGAACCTGGCTCTCCCATATGAGAGGCAAGAATTCCGCCATTGAACCACCACCGTCACCACCCCCTATATGGATGTCTTAAAGATGGCAAAAGGAGCCACTTTGTGCCCCCTTTCACTGCACTGATTGTGGTTCTGGCTACCATTGCTAACACCCAGAGTATGGTGGTAACTTGGACCTCCTGTGTTCTGTAAAATTGCTATTGGCTCATTGATCTCACCTCCTCAGAATTCTTAATGCATTTTAATCTTGCTCCTTGTTCTTATATGGAATTTGATGGATGCTGCCTTGGGTCACTGCACTAAATTGTCCTTACCCTCAGAATGAGGGAGACAGTCTCTAGTAGAGTTTGAAACGCTTGCATCTGGATCCAGTCAGCTGTTTCATGCTGAATGACCTTGTACATATTACTTAACCTATTCTCCTGGAGACTCTGTTTCCTCCTCTGCCAAATGGAGGAAATATTACAGCACAAGTTTGATTTGAAGAATAACAAATTGATCTACCTGAAGACGTTTGTCATAGAGGTTTGCAATAATAGATACTCAGACGCCTTGGCTCCTTTCCTTCTTTTCTTACATGTAGAAGATGTCTAGTAAATACTTATGAAATGAATTAACAATTTGCCTATTTCCTTTTCTGTGTGTTTGTTGGCAGTGGGGACAAGTTCTCTGGGGGCGGGCTAGATTTTTAGACATGGTTGAGGTCTTGGAGAAGTATGGCTAAATGATTCTATGTCCTGCCACATCTTTGTTCCCATACCTCTTTTTCCAGCTGGCAATGATAGACCTTTCACCCTAGAAGACTTCCAGTTTATGATCTTTCATACCCCTTTCTGCAAGCTGGTTCAGAAATCCCTGGCACGTCTTATGTTCAATGACTTCCTGGCTGCCAGCAGCGACACACAAGCCCGCCACTATAAGGGACTGGAGACCTTCAGGTGAGTCCTTTTCATGGAGAGCCTAGAGGCCCATGGAGGGGAAGGAAGAAGGCCCAAGGAGGGTAAGGAAGAAGGAAGCTAGATCACCAGCCTCTCCTGTGGGAAGCAAATATCCATCTCCCCACACGGCAGAATGATTAAGTCCATACTGTGCCAACACTCTATTGTCTACATGTGTTATCTCAGAGGAGTGCAAGGAACTTGTCAGAACCCCTGGGCCAAATGACTAGAAGAAGCTTCATAAAATAAGAAAAGGGGGAAAGGAGTGTGGCTGAGTTATTCAGATAATAAACATTTCTGAACACCTGCTACATGCCAGGCAAACTAAACTCTAGGGATACAGATTTGAATGTGACTTCTTGGCTCCTGCATAGAGCGTCTCACAGTCTAGAAACACGGGTCGTTGTCAGCAGCCATCAAGTTGATTCCAACCATGTTTCAGAGTAGAACTGCACTTCATAGGGTTTGCAAGGCAAATCACCGGGCCTAGCTTCTGAGGTCCTGGTATGGTGCTATGCATTAATGTGCTGGATTGTGAAGTCAGTTTAAACTGCAAGGTCGGTGGTTCAAGCTCACCAGCTGCTCCTTGGAAACCCTCTGCACGGTTGCTATGGGTCAGAACTGACTTGATAGCACTTAACAACAACAACAGCATCTTCTGAGGGGTCACTTGATGGTTTCAAAACACCACCATTTTGTCTAGTAGTTGAGTGCCTACCCATTTGCACCACCTGGGGATTGACACATAAACCATTCCAACCCTCTAGCTCCACAGGGTTTCCAAGGCTGTAAATCTTTACAGAAGCAGACTGCTTCACTTTTCTTGCTCAGAGAAACTGGTGAGTTCTAACCACTGACGTTTCAGTTAGCAACTCAGTGTTTAACCCATCGCACCACCAGAAACAAAGGAGCTCTGGTAGCGTAATGGTTACGAATCAGGCTGCAAACCTCAGGGTCAGCAGTTTGGAACTACCAGTGGTTCTGCGGGAGAAAGAGGAGGCTTTCTGCTCCCGTAAAGATTTACAGCCTCGGAAACCCTGTACAGGGTCGCTATGAGTTGGAAGCAACTCCACGGCATATAACAACAACAACAACAACCAGAAGCAAATAATCACACAGTACAGTTTGGCAATTTGGGAAATGCCAAGTCCCGGTCTCCACTGTCACTGGCTAAAAGTCTTTGTTGCCTTGATTGCCCCACCCCGTGTAGTCCAGCTCTCCTAACAAAGCACCATGAAGGGCAAGAATGTTGCTGCTTATGCACTGCTACAATGCATTTAAATAATTGTTGTAAATCTTCAATATAAAGAATGAATTCTCACTAAGAAGAGAATCTTTTCCTTTCTACAAGTATCTGTTTACTTTAACATTTCCAAGCTGCCCCTGCTACCAACTATTACTGTAAACCTTACCACTATCTAAAAGATCAAAATTATCACACACAGTTTATAATACTGATCTCATCCAGCAAAAACGATCTCATACACCAAGGATAAGCCATATTCACAAATCTTAATATATAAAGATCTCATTGATAAGGCCAACACCTAACAGAAAAATGGACAAAGGATATGACAAAGAAATTCCCTTGAAGGAGAAATACATATTAATCATATTTTTAAACATGATATATTCATTTACAACAAATAAAAATAAGGAATCTTTTTTTTGCACATTGCCTTTATATTTGAATACCCAGTATTGGCAAGGCTATGAAGAGTGGGCAATAGTGAATATGAACATCAAGGCAGCCTTTTTGGTGAGATGTTGTTACGTGCTGTTGCGTTGGTTCTCATTCATGGCGACCCTGTGTAGGGTTTCCAAGGAGCGGCTGGTGACTTTTGAACCACTAACCTTGTGAACTAGTGCTTATCCTACAGTATCACACCAGGACACTATGAATCAAATACCTTTAAAGAGCCACTGATTCAGTAATTCCCCTTGTTTATAAGAACATGTAGCTATTTACTATCGTATTTAAGTAGTGAGAAACAGGGATGGGGATCAGTGAAAGCCAGGTATATTCTACCGTGAATCATTCTGCAGCCTCTAAAAATTATGTTATTAAGATGATTAACATCATGGAGGAATAGAGAAAAATGGGACTTTCTGCTCCAGTAAAGTCTTGGAAATCCTATACAGGGTTGCTTTGAGTTGGAACCAACTCAATGGCACACAACAACAGCATGTGGCACTATAGGAGGAGCAATGGACTGTTAGCCCCAAGATTGATGATTCAAACCCACAAACCACTCTTAAGAAACTCTATGCAGGGTCGTCGTTATGAGTCAGAACCAACTTGACAACACTTAACAATAACACGCACAATACATATAAAGGAGTGGCTGGTGGGTTTGAACTACCAACCTAGTGCTTATCCTATAGCACCATACCAGGACATGGGTAACAATGGTTATGAGGATGGTACAGGAGTGGACACTGTTTCATTCTGTTTACATAAGATTTCTGTGAGTTGGAACTGACTTGATGTCACCTAATAACAATACATAAGGAGCTCTGGTAGCGTAGTGGTTACGAATCGGGCTGCGAACCTTAAGGCCAGCGGTTCGAAACTACCAGTTGTTCCGCGGGAGAAAGAAGAGGCGTTCTGCTCCCGTAAAGATTTACAGCCTCGGAAACCCTGTACAGGGTCGCTATGGGTTGGAAACGACTCGATGGCACTTAACAACAACAACAACAACATAACATATACTCACAAATATATACATATATATATGTATGTATGCATATATATATATATATATATATATATACAGCACAAAGACGTATATATAGAACTGCAAGGTCAGCAGTTTGAAACTACCAGTGCCTCCGCCGAGAAAGATGAGGCTTTCTGCTCCCGTAAAGATTTACAGCCTCGGAAACCCTGTACAGGGTCGCTATGAGTTGGAACCGACTCAACAGCACTTAACAACAACAACTATATAATATATATATACTTAAGAAAGTATGCTAAACAGAATATGTACCAGACAAAAACAACCCTAAGCCCATTACTATTGGGTCAATTCAATTTTGACTTATGATGGTGGTGGATATGTGCCATGGAGTTGGTTCCAAATCATACTGATCCAGTATAGGGTTTCCGAGGTTGTAAATCTTTATGGGAGCAGAAAACCTCATCTGTCTCCCATGGAACAGCTGGTAATTGTGAACTTCTGACCTTGATATCAGCAACCTGACTTGTAACCAAAGAACCCTCATCTTTCTCTCATAGAGCAGGTGGTAGGTTTGAACTGGTAACCCTGAAGTTAGCAACCCAATGCCTAATCCACAGAACCACCAGACTATACTATGATTTTATTTTCTAACAAAATGTATAAAAACAGGAATGGTAGGACTATTGGTGACTTTTTTTTCCATTGTGTTTTTCTATAATATTCTATAATAAAACATTGTTAAAAAATGCTTCCATAATATTCTATTATAAAAACGTGTTCCCCAAAGTCTTCTCCCCAGAACGGTTACCTTGTCCCTTGTTCTCTTCCTCCCCTCCTATGGTCTTTCGCCTTACGTATTCCTCTGGCTGCTTCACAGGGGACTAAAGCTGGAAGACACCTACACCAACAGGGATGTGGATACTGCATTTCAAAAGGCCTCTCTGGACATGTTCAATAAGAAAACCAAGGCCTCCCTCTACCTCTCCACACACAACGGGAACATGTACACTTCATCCCTGTATGGGTGCCTGGCCTCGCTTCTCTCTCAGTGAGTATGGCATGTGACCCTGTCTGTACCCCATACATTGAGAGACAACCCCCCCCCCCCACCACCGCACCACCACCAAGGAAATGCTTCCTCTTTAGGTTCAGAAACATAGAAAAGAAAGAGAGAGGGACCTAAAAGGGGTAAAGGCAGAAGAAAGAATGGAACTAGGTAAAGAGAGAGGAAAGGCAGGAGGTAGGAAGGATGATGAAAGTTATTTCAAAGTGCATTCATAGGCAGATTGGTCTTCATCCAACAGCGGTCTCTAAGTGAAGACCGTGTGCGTCTAAGAGTGTGTAAGATCTATTTGGGTGCAGCACAAAGACAGTAGAACTTGTATTCTTATTTTTTACTATATCCATCTAAAATCTCTGCCCTTAGCAGATCATGGTGGTTCTGAGTGTCTAGCTTTAGAGTTCACAATCTGGACTCAAATCTCTCCTTACCATTTATTAATTTTGACCTTGAAAAACCTTTTATGTGCCTTGCTTTCCCCATCTATAAAATATGGATAATGATAATACCTCCCTCGTAGGGTTTTGGTGAGCATTAAGTAAATTTTACTAGTTGCTGTGAAGTCATTTCATAGTGACTGCATGTGTGTCAGAGTAGAACTGTGCTCCACAGGGTTTTCAATGGCTGAGTTTTCTCAAGTAGATCACCAGGTCTTTCTTCCAAGGCACCTCTGAGACATCCAACCTTACAGTCAAGTGCATTAACCCAGGGACTAACAGCATTAAGCAGGTGCCCACATGTTAGCTGTTGTTTTTGTTGGTGTGGTTTATAAAGAGACAGTTGTACTATAGTATATACATGGAATCCCTTTGTGGTACAGTTAGCATGCTCAGCTGTTAACCAAAAGATTGGGAGTTCAAGTCTACCCAGAGGGTCCTCAGGAGAAAGACCGGGCAATTTACTTCAGAACAATCAGCCATTGAAAACCCTCAGTGCACAGTCTGACTCAGACATGCATGGGGTCACTATGAGTTGAATTCAGCTCAATGGCAAGTGGGTTGTCTCTCTCTCTCTCTTTTTAATAGCATATGTATATAACGCAGGAAAATCTATGTGACTATATTTGATCAAGGAGTCTTGGTGTGGCGCTGTGTGTTAAGGCGCCAGACTGCAAAGTCGTTTGAACTGCAAGGTCAGCAGTTCAAGCTCACCAACTGCTCTTCGGAAACCCTATACAGGGTCGCTATGGGTTGGAATTGACTCGACAGCACTTCATAACAACAACAACATACTTGATCAAATTATTACTGATAGGGAGATGATGGAAAAGCTGTGGCTTCGGAAGCAGGATCG